ATCCTTAGATCGAGACGGGCCAAGACCCCTTTGATATTCAGGCTCAGACCTGGACCTTCATGGAATGAAGGATTTAAAGGCAGCCGAGCGCGACTTGGCTGACAGAAAACTGACGTGTCAAGAAGAAAGCCCTTCTTTTTCAACCTGATATCCGCCAGATTCACCTACAGATGTCTCTCCATAACCACGATGGCCGCCATGGATCTGCCAATGGCAGTGGCGGCCAGCTTAGTGGCATGGAGAGCAAGATCTGTGGTGCAACACAACTCAGCCACCTCATCAGGGGATAGACCCTGACCCTTATCCAGGCCTTTCAGCAGATCAGCCTGATAAGCCTGAAGAACCGCCATGGTATGCAACGAGGCTGCAGCCTGACCTGCTGCAGCCTGTATGCCCTGCCATTCAAACGAGATGTATCCTGAAGGGGTTTGGATGGCAGGGAGGGAGCCTTAAGAGAACATGTCTCCCCCAAAGAGAGATAGCAGGCCAACGTCTCTTCAACAGGGGGCATCTTCTCATAACCATTCTCACGCATCCCCTCGATGCTGGCATAACTAATATGCTGGAATCTATGGATGCGAGACGAGAATGGATTTTTCCAAGCCTTCTCGATCTCTACATGAAGATCAGAAGAAATTGAAGGCTCACCTAAACTGGAGGGCTATGGCTAGAAATAAAACGCTCGTTGAGGTGGCCTCGAGGCGTCACTTTCTTGGCCTGCTTCCACGGCAAGTCAAGCTTCACCGTGGCGCGATCTATAACCTCAAGCAGCTCATCATATGCGGGGCAGGAGGATTGGGAGGACTCAGTCTCGACTTCTTCGTCCTCACTTGACATCTCCTGCTCATCCTGGCTTTGAGCCAGCAGAGCACTAGCCGCTGGATCAGATGATGGAAGAGAGATGGCATCATCGTCCAGCAGCTCACTCTCGTCCGTGACTGATGAGTGCGAAAGGCAAAGACCCTTTTTCAACTCATCAGCCAGGTACATCTGCGATCCCTACGAGCTAATTTTCCTCCATGCCTCAGCAGCGGAAGGTCCTGAACCACGGGGAGCTGGTGCTGTCCCTCCTTCCTCGAAAGGAGAGACAAACGAGAGCGGCGCTTTTTCATAGGAAAACGCTCACAGTGCATGCAAACTGCCCCCTCGAGGACATCGCACACGTGCTCTTCGCCCAAACACAAGACACAAAGATCGTTTGTGTCATCAGGTGTCAAATAACGAGGACACGGATCCACACACTTCTTAAACGCCTTACTAGTGCTCGCCATGGTAAAAAATAATAATTGTTCTTACCGGAAATCCATGCTTCAAACAAAACTGTCCTTGAAGACGAAGAAGAGGATGATGTGTTCTCCCAGCACCCTTTTATACTGTGGTCGCGCCAGGTGATGACATCACAGGCTGTCGCCGGCAAATGTTATTGTCGTGTTTAGATGTATGCTTCAGACACCAATCACGCTGAAGGCATTCCCCATAGCGACCTCTAGAGGATGCAGTTCGAAGTTCCCTCGGAAGGGTGGCTTTTGGCTTTCCTCAGCCAGATCCCAGACTAAAATTGCAAATCTATGGTGACAAATATCTATACTGTAAAAAAAAAATGTCTTGTTTTAAATAAAATAAAAATGATTGGAGTATAATTTGTATAAGAAGATACTATTTCAGTCTTCCTACTTCAAAATGTCATGTTTAATTCAATGTGTTACTTGCCATTTCTGTCTACATAGAATATTCCAGATTTTGCACTTTTTTTCAAAGAAAAATACATTTCTTCATAACTTTTAATTAAAATGCAGTAAATAATTATCCCTGATAAAATACCATTTAAAGTCCAATCCTACATTTATTTTTTTATCTTTAAATATCCTGTTTCATCTGAGAATGTTGTACTATACAAGTAAACTGGTTTGCAAACTGAAATTGTTTGTTTGTGTGTGTGTGTGTGTGTGTGTGTGTGTGTGTGTGTGTGTGCGTGTGTGTGCATTTTCCACATAAGCTTGAGTCTTTCTTCAAAGAAAACTCCAAAAATTTAAATTCTTTATTTCTCAACCAGACTATGAGAGTTTGAGGATCGGGGGTCTGGCGTTTGCTGTGGTGCTGTTTGCTCTGGGAGTGCTCCTTATTCTCAGTAAGAAACATGTTTTTAATTAATTATTTTTAATTCATCATCTTCATTCAGAAGCTAAATCGTGCCGAAATTAGTGTAAAACAAAAAAGATCAGAGCACAATAGCTAAACTGAGCTGCCGCACAATATATCATTATACAGCAGTGCTTTTATTCAACTGAGCATTAGATGATGTTTTATTATGAAACAGAGATGCATGAATATATGTCACACTCAGTGGCAGAGATATAAATGAAGACATGCTTGCTATCAACATTTCATTCGGGTTACAGAAATAACATATGTAAGGGATTATTATCCCTTATTATCCCAGTCATTATCACAAAATAATAAATAAATAAATAAAATCACAAAAATAAAATCGTTTATATGGTTTGACATTCATCTGTTTGATCTAAATCGTTTTGCTTGTGTGCACCCTGCAGGCCGCAGATGCCGCTGCAGTATCAACCAGAAGCCCAGGCTAGTCATATACAGCTTCTATTATTTGCTGTCATGTGTTGCATGTGTTTATAACCATCAGTTATAATTTTCTTTGTACTATATATTTTCTCAGGGCTCCGGGAGATGAAGAAGCTCAAGCAGAGAACCTCATCGTCTCCAAGGGTGAGATTCAGTACTATCTCTTGTAATACACGTTGGTCATCTTTAAGAACAATTTTAACTGTTCTTTTATTATTCTTCTTTTATTAAGCCAAGGAGACCCCTAAAGCAGAGAACTGAAACAACCCAGGTACAGAGACTTTCCTTATGAAAGTGTGATTATGGAATCAGAAATGACCAAAAATGCAGAGAGCTTGCTGTATTATGTAATATCGGCTTTATTTCTTCTCAGTGCTGCTGAACACATAGCTGTGGCGGAACGACTTCACTGATGCTGCGGAGGGTGATGATGATGAAGCTGATTCCAGACCATGGCTATGAGAGGATATAGAGGAGACAGAGATTTGTGGGGGGAGGCAACTATGACTTGGATTTTTAATGGGCCAGTGTCTTGTACGTAGACCTCTAGTCCTGTCACGTGAACAGTAACCGTATCCGTCTTTTTGTCTGTGCCCTTTTGCAACAGTCCGTCTTGAGTGAGTTGTTTTAGCAAAACTAGCCACTTTCTGCCGTTCATTCTTAACATTTTTGGCTCCCTCCCAGTCAAATTTGTGCGTGCGGTTTAAAGGAACAGTTCACCCAAAAATTAATATTCTCATTTCGTTCCAAACCTGTATGCAGTTATTTATTTGTTTTATGTTGAACACAAAAAGAGATAATATTAAATATTCTTATAGCCCTTATTATATAATGACAAAACCTAAGAAAAAGATTTAAAAAAAAAAAAAAAACCACCATAATTTTCATTTTTGGATGAACTGTCTCTTTAAAACAATTTTGTTTTAACGTCCAACAGTGAAAAACTATTACTGTTATTGTTGGTGAGACCACTTGTTATTGTTATTTGTGTCGCACCTGCTGTTTTTTTCTCTTGTAGATTGTATAGATTATTTGCACACATATTTAAAGTATTTAATATAAGTAAGTATTGATTCATATGTGATGCAGAATATACATTTGAATATACAGTGTATGCATGTGTGTATGAATAGATCCTGTAGAGCTTGTATGAATGCGTGTGTGTGTGTGTGTATATTTACGCCCACATTCAGGGCTCCTCCTCCCGACAATCTTTCGATCGTTTTACCCAGACCAAGCACAAAAACAACACAGTGCCACCACTGTACCACACTGTCCTCTGATCAGCTGCAACACTGCCCCAATTCGGACCCATAGTCTAAACGTCTTCGGCCTAAGAGCGAGACCGCAGAAGCAGTTCACTTCACCATAGTGCCACAACCCTGTGTCCTTTACCTTTACTATCACACGTCTTCTGTAGCCTACATATTAACTTTCTTAAAGGAATAGTTCACCCAGAAATGTAAATATTTTATTATCGTCTACTCACCCTCATGTCATTAAAACTTAACAAACAAGATGGTTGCCGTTGCTATGTGGAGCACAAAAGAAGATATTTTGCTGAATGTCCAAGCAGCTGTTTTCCATACAGTAAGGTAAAGCATAAAGTATACTAGCGCATGTGCAGACTGAACTTTATTTGTTTGCGAACGCAGTTAGTAAACACATGCACATAAGGGAAGTTTCATTCTTGTTTAGTGTCTGTGCTATGTCTATCTAAAAGTTACGAGCAAAAAAAACCCAAAAAAACATTGTTGTCTTTTGAAAGTAGTTTCTTATTTGATGGTGAAACAACAAGCCAGGACAGTGTTGCCACCTAGTGGACAAACTAAACAGTGCAAAATATGCATCTAGAAAAATCTGCATCTAGTAGCATTTGTATAACACAGTTTTACTACAAATACCATGGTTACACTATGGTTTTTGTAGCAAAACCATGGTTAATTTGTGGTAACCATGTTTTGTTTTTTTTTGTAGTAAAACCGTGGTTAATTTTCGTAAGGGTGGGACTTTGGTGCAAACAAAAAGCACCATAAAACTAATATAAAAGTATTTAATATGACTTGTATTTAACATGATGATATATACGCAAGGAACAGACTGAAATTTAAATAATTATTTGCTGAAAATCTCCAATGTAGCTCTCAAATCTCTTCCAGCGTTCTTCTACGTTAGTGTGCACATTTTGCGTGATCAACTCTGCGCCATATTTTAACGTAAGCCAGTGTGAATGAGATAGATGGGAAGGTTTTCAGCAAGCGACTTAAATTTCGATCTGACACTTCAGAGCTATGGTGAACTTGGTTTTCAAATCACATGAGGTTGCGTAAACAATGACAGACTATTGATTCTTGGGCGAACTAACTCTTTAATATCACTCATATTTATAAACACTGTTCAATGGGGCCAAAATGTCGGCCTCTAAAGAGACCAACCTTTGCATTTGTGTGCGTCTTCGTACGTATGTGTGTGTGTTGTTCCGCACATCACTTGCTGTGATAAACCTATGAGAGCTGTAGAAATGTAGGTCAGTTTATAAAGAGAGAAGCGTTTCACAGAATATTAATCACATGTATTCAAGAACACAGTCTAACGCTACAGATGCTTCGCTATTAGAGAGGAATTTAATACATATTAGTCTCATATCTGTGCAGCTGCTGTGTATGGCCGCTCTTTGTGCTTCGAAATAAATAAAGTCTTTGTTTGACACAGGCATCGGTGTGTGGATTCGTTTTTGTTTTTTGAAGCATCTGAACAGAGATGCCAAGCCTCAGTCAATCTATCTTCTTCTGGTTCTTTTAAAAAGGTAATACATCACCTGCTAAAAAGATGGCTCTCTTCAGTACGTCAGGTAAAAATGTATTTAAGACCATTTGGACTCAGTTATCCATCAGAATGATCGATTTGACACCATTGTAGCGTCTTGTACCGTGTTGTCGACTAAAAATGAGGATCTGAAGTCAATTACCGACATCTGAAAGCTCTCTGAGGTCCGTTGTTTATAGCCTACTTCAAAGTCGAGACAGAATATGGCCACGATCACTCCCAGCATTTTATACTATGATGTAATTGGACTTCCCTTGGGCAATGACTCCAAAGGTTGGGCTCAGTGGTATTTTATCATAGTTTGAAGGCCAGTGTTTATGGGCTAATAAATGTGTTTCAAAGAATGGTTGGGCGGTCAGATTTACGAATGCTCTGGGAGGCAGGGAGGGGTAGAGGGATGAAATAAACCTGGACTAAAGACACACTCTCACAGTAGTCAAGACCTCAGGAGGAAGTGGAGCTTTCCACAGTATACAGGTGAGCTGAGATGGTAACTGTGTTATTATGGATTTCTGCAGAATGTTAAACATCAGAATTTGTAAAATGGTCAGATTTGACAAGGACAATGCGTTTTTATTGGTTTATGTTCATGACATGACAACTGAGGTTTGGGACATTTGGGGCATGTTAGGTTGCATGTTCATGCTCATGTTCTTCTCAAAATTTGCTTTGTAGGGGTCACAGAGAACTCTAGTTTCAAAATGACTATTCTATTACTCTTAAATTATTTTTAAAGGTTTTACTGACTAAGCTTAGTCAAAAGATATATATATATTTTTTTTTATTAATCTTTAACTCTCTGATTTTTTATTATTTTTATTTTGTTTATTTTTCAGGCTGCTTGATATCTAGCATGATAACTAAATTTGGGGTCAAAATATACATGTTGAAAAATACAATAAAACAAATCCAAATGGATAAGCGGATAAGTATAATTTTGAGGCCAGTGTAATCCATACAAGTTAAAGAAAAAATCGAATTAAATACATTTCATTCATTTTTGAGTCACTTTAAATAGCATTTAAGCAAATACAATAAAACAAATCCAAAAGGATAGCAAGTTAGCATTTTGGGGTCAATTTAAGCCAATAACATTTTTAAAAATACAATAAAACTAATTCTAATGGACACGTGGTAGCAGTTAGCATTATTTTAGCATATTAAAATTAATTGGATTTATTGAAATAAATAATTTTGGGGTCAACTTGCTACAGTAACATAATAAAAATTACTATAATGTCACTTGCTGTGATAAACATATATACATCAATATTCTATACACACACACACACACACACAAAATAGACAAATTGTAGGATGATGCATTAATTGCAGTTATTAATGTTGGGGTCAGTGTCATCCATGCAATACAAAAATACAATAAAAATAAAGAAATAACATTAATGTGGGGTAAATTTGATATGGTAACATAGTTATGACCTTAAGCCTGTAAAAATGCACTGCATGCATTAATTGCAATGAATAATTTAGCTTATATGTTATATACCAGAGACACTTACTTACAAGACATTTTGAGTAGCACTTTATAGTGTTCATGTTACAAAGTTTTTGTCACTAGTCAGTAAGTATGTGTAATTGTGTAATTGTGGGTGGTGTGGTGCAGTGGTTAAAGGTTAGATTAAGAGAGTTTGCTTGTTTGAGCAAGGAATGAACAATAAGCCAAAACCACTGTGCCCTAGAGCAAAGCATTACAAAAAAAGTTAATATCATGGTCCTGAAGTGTTTGTTTGTCTGACAAGATCTGCATGTAGAATTGAAAAGCAAACTGCCCTGACTGAGGCTTTATGAGTCACATTCTCTTCAAAGCAGCATGAGTTAATCATTACTTGTGAGATATGGATTGGGAAGGGAATCATTATAATAATCCTTAAGAAAGCCTGGAGGAACTGAAATAAGAGAAATGCTGATGGTCTGCAAATAAACCTTTCTTAAAAAAAATTGTGGCTGTATGGCTGTTCTTGAGTTGAGCTGTATGATTCTTTCTGTTCTTCAGATCAGTGTATTGGTTTCAGGGTTCTTTAAAAATTTTAATTAGAATATTTTGTGCTTCTGATACATTTTATTATATAGTATATACTATATAGACTAAATGAAAATAGTAATAGTATAAAATTGTGTACAGATTTTGAATGTATTATGAGGGTTAAACCTATTGCAAGGGTATGGAAGGCAGGTGGGGCCAAAATAATTAAATGGACCGTGTGAAATTTGACTGTCAGCACATACTGTTTTTTTCTGCATTAACGGAACAACACACAGAGCAGCCAGTTAAAATATCTGCATATGCAATATTATGGTTGGTATATACGTATACAAACATCAGATGTCGTAATGGTATACTGGTATGCTTGTATGCAAACATCAAATGGTATATTTGTTCATGAGGGATAATCCATTTGTACATTGTGGGTGGTATCAGTTTTATATCATGATTTGTCTTTTCCTTTTTAGTTGTTTAACATTATTTATTACACTCTAAAAAATGCTGGGTTGTTTCAACCCAACTTTGGGTCAAATATGGACTAACCCAGCTGTTGGGAAAATGTTTTACATTACATTTTTAACCCACAAGTTGGGTTAGTCCATATTTGACTCAAAGTTGAGTTGAAACAACCCAGCATTTTTTAGAATGTAGGTAGAAAAGTCTTAATTTACATTGTAACATTAATTAATTTACTCTAACACAGTAGATATCAGTAAAGCAATAGCGCAAAGAACAAAATAAAAAATCCATATGTGGATAAATCTAAAGGTAAAACTGATTTTAAAAGTATTACACGTTCAAACGCGGCCAGAATATGTGCATTGAGAGGCACGTTCAAAGTCATCATCTTAACGTGATATATCTTCTGCATCTATATACTTATAATAAATGTGGCTAAAACTAACACCTAAACACACCAGAATGTAATTGTTTACACATATAAAGGAAACGTTCAAAATTGCTGCATGTTGACAAATTTCACGTGTCCCATTTAAAGACTTTTGCACCCATCCGCCTTCCATACACGAGTTCCGCCAGTAGTGGGCACTCGTGAAACGAAAACAATGAAGTACATCCAAGTCAAATGACAGGCTAGGTGTCAGCGAGGACAGTGCATAAAAAGCGATGTGGAATTTTAGTGAACGTTTACGAAATTACGAGAAAAGGGGATTATTGCTTTTTAGCAGCAACAAATTAACGTGTACAAATTAATTACAACAGAGATATATCATTCACTACAGTGAATTCAGCTCAAATACACTGAACTGCATGCAGTTATTTTAAGCGCTAAGTAAGGTCTCTTTGATTATAATTATTTATATATATAAATAATATAAATATTATTATGATTTACATTACCAGTTTTGCCATTCCGCATCGTGACCCACAGACAGCAGCCATGTCTTCTGGAGCAGGTGAGTCTCATTTTTAAGAGTTTGCTTGCACTGTTGTACTTGTATTCTGCTCTCTCCTTCACACTGTTAATGAAAGCTGGAGAGAGAATGTGTCCATAAAAGTCAGTCCTCCACTGGGAGACTGTCTCAGACAGAGGGACTGTGCTGTGATATAAATATAGAATAAAACATTTAAAAACAATCACAGCATTATGGGTTTATGGTATGTTATTGCACCAATTGTGCATACAAGTTTTATGATGGCTGATTTTATGAATATGGGTGTTTCTGCAATGTTGTATTGTGTATTCTACAACTGATGTAATATGTTTAATATCCTTCTGCCTTGGAAATTACATTTTAAACATATTTGGATGTTTAACACACACACACACACACACACACACACACA